TACATTCATCGCTCCGCTCAGAATCTAAAATGTTATACAATACTTCATAAATTTGAAAATTTAAAACATGGTTTCACGTTAGTAGTTAATTCTGTGGGTAACTAAAAAATATAAAGACATTTGTTTTTGTATAGTTAATATTCAGTTCAAATTTGGACGAAATTACATATTAAATAACCAAGAATAACAATTTTAGTTTCATTGTTGTAATTTAAAAAATTATTCATGGGTCCTTAAAACTTCCAAAGTATAATAGTAATAAGTAGTATTAATTTTTCGATCCTGGGACCACCACCACTGCCACCACCACCGCTACTTGCCGCCAAGTATTTGATAGGGCCGCCATCCCACCACTCCCCGCCCAACAGAGGTCGCCCACCACCACCACTACTCCCCGCCAAGACATTGATTATGCCGCCGTCACATCACTGTCTAGTAGTGTCTACAATTCTGATCCATTATACAGTACGCAGGGCCGGATTTAGAACAAGTGCCGCCCTAGGCCCTTTTAAATATGCCGCCTCTACCCCAAGAAAAAAAAATTGTAATTATTACAAATAAATTTATTTCATTTTAAAGAAATTAGGTCAATAGTCATTATAAACAAAACAAATAATAATTATAAATCCTAATTAGRCATTATCAGTATACATTTTGAATCTTAATCTTAAAATAATCTTAATAATCTTTAATCTTATACCTAGTAATACTTAATAGTTAAACTTATACCTAATCATAACCTATGTTATCTATAACATTTTACGACGAACTTTTTTAGACGCGAAATCGTCGATTATATCATCATAATTTATACTTCGAAGCATCTYAGATTCTATGTSTAGTATTRATGTCGCGTTTAATCTATCTGACTCCAAAGTTGAACGAAGATGCGATTTTACTCTTTTCAATGCTGAAAACGACCGCTCTGCTGTACAATTTAGCCAATATCTTTAGCCAATTTCTATATATATTATATTTTTATCGTAATTACTTTTAGGAACAACTTATATTATTATATACCTAGGTAGGTATCTTATCTTTATAGCTCACATTACGAGAAAATTGATTTCGGGTTAGTGACATTTTCAGTTTCATGCGCCCGTATATTTTACATACAGATATCTAAAAAAAAATCATATAAATATTTCATGCATTCATATGATTCTTTTTTTATTTCTTACAAAATTTGCCGCCCCAAAAAATTTGCCGCCCTAGGCCCGGGCCTCACGGGCCTAGGCGTAAATACGGCCCTGACAGTACGCTTACACATATATTTATATTACTTATATTTATAAATGCAACAGGGTGGTCAAAGATTCTGCATGGAAATGTTTATTAAGCATAATTTCTTATCTTAGCAGGATGTTTTCTCATACACTTCTATATTTTTTTTTCACTGGTTTTTGTTATCCAGCATTCCTTACTTTAAATCCCTTTCATTTCAATGTGAATTAAAATAATGAGACATTATCTTACAGTAGTATAAAACTGCTAAGACGGCATATAAGGAAAAAATTATTTTTGGCTTGACCATTGTCAGATGATTAGTTATATTTTGTGCATATTAAAAATGTTTAAATGTGAACAGTGTGAATGTACTTTCTCACGAAATGACGCTTTAACTAGGCATTTAATGCGTCATAATACCATTGAAACATTTAAGTGTATTATTTGTGACAATTTATTTATCAGAAGGGATGCTCTCAGAAGCCACGAGAAAAGTATACACGGTAAGTAAATTTCAGAGTCATACAATAAAATATTAGGATTCTATCAGTGAAATTATTATTTTTATCACTATAGGAAGATAAGAGTATTAAGCAAATGATGTATTTATTCGTACCACAGAATTCTGTGCTCGTACCGTGGATCCGTTTAACATGACCGTAGTTGTGACGTTTGTTTACATTATTTTACACGGTGTGTGCTGTGACAAATCTGCCGCAACGGATGATAGTCTTTTTTTCATACGCTATATTCCAATCATATAATATTGATTTTTTTTAACTTTATATACGGTATCAGAATACTCGTTGCATAATTAATGCTATCTGAGAGTTTAAAGGGGTTTAATATATACAACCATACGTACATGATTGTAGTATAAAAAAATATATCGCATTTAATTCACGTTTGATATAATAAAGTATTGTTCCATTTTAGGTTTGTTAAACAGTAATCCACAGCCAGTTACAGCAGCAACTGCAAGTAAGAATTATGTATATATATATTTTTATAATTTAGTGTTTAATATTTAACATATGCTATCACTTTTGTATAGACATCGATGGTGTTGCAGTATTGGATAAGGTGTGATTTTGATAAGTGGATTGCGTGAAGGTATATAGTAAATATAGTAAATATATATCGCGTTTAATTAAAAAAAATGTTCATTATAGATGATAACAACGCGTTTTATGAAGGTGTTTATAATTTAATGACAGAAGATAACAGTGATGGCTATTGTATTGATGTGTTAGATAAGGTCGAACATAATGAAATGTGTAAAAGTATGTTATATTAAATAGGTATATCTAGAATCGTCAATAATTACTTGTTTTTTAGATGATGACAATATTACGTTTGGAGACGATAATGATGGTTATTGTATTGATGTATAACACAAAGGATTATGCAAAAGTATTATATCATATATATTTATGTACATTATATCATAAATATATATTGATTTTATTTTTTAGGTGATAATGATGAACCAGAAATGATTGAAATTACCCCAAATATTTTCGTCAAGAATATACAAGCTGTATCTTCAAAACAAAGTAAATATTTAAATATATATTTGTTTTGTTTTTATATAAAATTTATAAATTATTTAGGTAAACGTGTATATAACGATAATTCAAATGGACAGGCTAAAAATAAACGTATGAAGACGACTACATCATCGACATTTGTTCAAACAAAGTCTGCGTTTAACGGATTATGCAAAGAATATTTTAAAAAAAACACTGATGGTATAAAAAGAGTTAAAGATTTTTTAGACAATACAAAGCCCGAAATGTACGCTATACACAATTTTTTTTAATAAGCGTTTACAGTTCAAAATTTTACGAAATCTGTCGAAAACGCGAAAATTTGCTAGTAATTTTGAAGTTGAAAACTCATAAAATTTTTTGCGTTTACAACTAAGGATTAAAAATACAACACTATGTTTTCCATAAGTATTCTTCAAGTAGCTATAGAGAAAACTCGAAGCATCATTATAGGAAAAATTTTAAGTGCGTCTGAATTTTAAATTTTTACGAAATAGCGTAACGATAACGATTTATCCTTAAACGATTTTAAA